TCTCTCAAATGATGGCCATTGCCTATCCTCATTATTATAAAAGTCATTTTACTCTCCAAAGGATTAAAATTATGTTAGCGATTTGTTTTTTATATTACTCTGCTTGGTACATACCTTCAGCGTGGTGGTTCCACATTTTAAAACTTAATAATATTTGTGGATTAGATCCCAAAATTTTCCTTTATATACGGATATTCGCATCCTTCACAAAAACGGAAAGAAGGGAGTGGACGATTTTCGGAATTTTTAGGGAGATTTTTACACGATTCATACCTATCGGAGCATTACTATTACTTAACTATATTTCCCTAAAGCATAAAAGATTAAACATTAAGTGGAGAGCGAATCAAGTAATATCGAATTTACAAGTTACCATACCAAGTAACACAAATCGAGCTGCTATATCTCCGGAATTTGAGAAAAGTGGTGGAAAAGAACTTACTGTTAGCAGTATTAAACTACCAGAACTATCTAAAAGCGAACATAATGTTTCGCTTACTACGACACCCTCAAATATTATTGATATGGCTTTTATTGACCGGAATCGTAATAAGATTGCAGATACCATTGACATTACCAATTCAAAAACTAGTTCTACAATGATTTCGAAAACCGACTCTAAAACTGCGTTAGGCCAACATAAAGTGAAACAGATGGAATTGGAATACAGGATAAGCATTAGAATGTTAGCTATATTAATGCTTGAATTCTTAGTTTTCTTACTTCCGGTTTCCATATATCTTATCATAGTCGATTTTTTTGATTATCTAGTGACTGCCGGAGAATCTGAAATAGCCTTTGCCGGTTGTACTTTGATGGAGTACGCGTATATATCGTCAACCTTTTATCTCAATATGATTTTTAATCCCGCTTATAGACAGGATGTCTACAAAGTCTTTAGAAAATCGAAGTTGGGTAAATTTTATAAAAAATACAAGAAAAATTCTATAGGAGTTGAAAGATCAAATTGAAGGAATAAAACTTCCCTTTAATGTTAAAATTAATATATAATTTTTGTAAATAATAGAATGTAATAAATTTTTTTTTAAAATATACAATTATTATATAAATTTAACAAATTGTTTTTTGTCACTTCTATAAAATATAATGTATTAGGAGAAGAAATAAATTTAAGAGATTGTTAACATTTCTATGCTAACCTGGGCAACTAATACCGTCTAAATAGCAAGATACAAAAAAAATAAAAATGGCGGCAAACATTGAAAAATAAAAACTTGTTTCCAAAGACTTTATTACGAAATTCGGTTCAGGTTCTAGATTAATACTGGTTAAACGGTTAGATTCAGGTTCGATTTGGATACCTGTAACATTGTGTCTAACAAAATTAATATTTTCTTTATCAAAATATCTTTTTACAATTATACTACGTAGTAGTGTCTAACAATCTTTATAAGCTTAAGTTTTCGTATTTTTATTGTCGCAAGCGCTAACATCCAGACAAAAAATACGAGACTGTGTGAGAATAACTTGTAATAACCCAAAATATATTTTAAATATTGCTTTAAGAATTTTCTAGGAATTAAAGGGATTCCCAATTTTTTGCGATTTACAATTAGTAAACTTTATTTTGATACGTTTTAAATTAATTATATACCTGATGTATTAAATTACAGTGATTAAAAATTGACATATAATATCTTATGGAAAAATAATAATATAAAGCAATATAAAAATATTATGCTTCAATATTATTTAAAGGAAATTGGAAGAAAATTATTACAAATAAATCTTTTGTTGTGATCTGATATGTAATAAGATGTTCAATAAAACAATAAAAAACATTTAATCTTTATAATTGATAATTTGACAAATCGATAATATAAATAAAACAATTAAAATGTCTTTAAAGTAATAAAATGAATTCAGTAAAATTAAATAATAATAAATATTTCACAATTTTAATTCTTCTTCTAAGAACTGATGATATTTGGGTGTCTTTATATGTCTTACAGTAAAAAGAGTCTTAAATATATAAGGGTTTTTTGTTAATTATACTTTAACGACATCACCCGGCTTTAAAGATGATTGCTAAACTATTTTGTTCTTTTTATAACTATCTTAGAATCTCTATATAATTTATTATCTCTCCTTTATGATTTTTTTTTTACCATTTAATAATATATTCGCTATGTCCCAAACTATCGATGCAATGTTTCATACTATTATAGCAAAATCTTTACTAATAGCCTAAAATATAAATTTGTTATGATTATATTCCTTATCTTTGTACCTAACATCAATTGGTTCAATTTAAAACTTAAAAAATATATACGGGGTTTGCAAGAATTTATTAATTTATTCCATGGGTGCCATACAATTCAGTAGAGGAGAGGTACAATTGGATTGCTTTAGGTCACCAAGACATTTACGTTCTACCTACACGTGATGGTAATCATAGTATCAAACAATTTTTGCCTAAATCACAAATGAGCTAAGCTCAAATAGAAATCGAAGAACCCCTTTTCAAATTTATAAAAAATCATATCAGTTGGTGTTGGATTTTGACGTTTTATTATTATAAAAAATAGAAAGATTAAATATTAAAATATATATATATAATTAAACCTTTATTTTTGTCTTGGAATATTATTGGATGAATTAAAAAAAATATCGAAATTAAATTTTAATAATTTTGTTTCCTCTATATATCTTTTTAATATTCAAATTGCAAATTTGAATGGCGAACTAACAATGCCCAACTAAAATTTTAATATAATAATAACTAATTCTAATATTCAAATATAAAAAAATTATAATATTCAAAAAAAATAATTACATAACAATATAAAAAAAATTAGGAAAAAGTGAATAATTACAACACCATCCCCCTTAAAAACCCACTGGAGTGGAAGATTTAGGCTGGTCAATAACCTCTCTTACCGATAGCAGAGCATTGTTGTCGGAGGTTAATGCCGCAGTTGGACAGTAACGTAACTTGTAAGTGTCTCCGCAAGACCAACACTCCATTCGACTTCTCCTGACCCAATCTTGATCTGTTCTGGTCTCATATCTTGGTCTTTTCGTTACTTCTTGCAATAACTCTCCATATCTTTGTTGTGCCTCCAACCGGGCAGCTTCTATCCATTTCTTCGACTCTACGGATCCGTCAACCTCTCGTTTTTCGATTTTATTAATTTTATTTCCTACTCTGACGAAGGAAGCCATCTAAAACAAATTACTATATAAATTTAAAAAAAAAATCTAATGATCTTCTATAATCTCTCATATTCTAGTAATTATTTTATTCCTCTATAAATTATGATTCTCATTCCTCTATAAATTATGATTCTCATAACTATGTCTATCATCAATTCCATATCGTCAGAAATTATGATTCTCATAATTGTGTCCTTCATCAATTATCATCCTTAGAATTATGATTCTCATTATTATGTCAATCATCAATTCCATATCGTCAGAAATTATGATTCTCATAACTATGTCTATCATCAATTTCCATCTCATAATATATATATATTTTCCTAAATCCTAAAACATTCTATCTATAATTATCTCCAATATTATTGCTCTAAATATCTAGGTCTTACTTGTTTGATATGTCTAGACCAAGTTCCCTTTTGTCCTTCAATTTCTACCGCAACTCCTTTTCTTCCTAAATTTCTCTTTACTATTCCCTTCCCCCCATTTGATTGGACCATCAAACAAAAGAATTCAAGCTAAGCTTCCAACCTTAAATTTCTCCTCATATGTATTATCCTTTTGTTTTATTTTTTCTTTCAAAAAATCTAATTCCATTCTTGTTTTTCTACCTAAAAATATCTCCGCGGGTGACCTACCTTTGGCTCTCTTACTGTTATTGTAAGCTAATAACAATAACCACCATTTTCCTTCTCCATATTTTTCTTTCTTAAGCCAGCTTTTTACAATGGAAACCATTCTCTCGGCCTATCCATTACTTCTCGAGTAATGTGGTGGCGATAATAAATGCTTAATATTCCACCTTTCATAAAATTTGTCAGACACTCTACCTTTAAACGCTGGTCCTCCATCCGAAACTAAAGTTTCCCTTAATCCAAACTTACCTACAAAATCCTTTATTCTCGTCAAGGCTACTCTTGTCATTAAACCTGACACCTGTTGACAATCTCATCTACTATGATAAAATATTTTCTTTTTTCATATTCTAAAAAATCTACATGTATTCTTTTCCCTGGAACCTCTGTTTCTGGCCATTTATCTGTTTTATTTTTTGCTGGTACATTTGCCCACATGTTACAGGTATCACAACTTCTAGTGAAACTTTCTATTTCCCTATTCATTTGGGGCCACCAAATATATTCCCGTGCTTTATTTTTCATCCTCTCTATACCTTGGTGTCCTATATGTATCGTTGCTAGAATATCTTTTCTTAACGTCCATGGAATTACTACACTATATCCTCTCATCAGACAATTGCCTTCAATTCATTCTTAACTCTTTTGAATGCTTTGTCCTCATTTTTCCATTCTATGTCTCCTTTCAGACATGCTTTAATTCTCATTAATTCTGTTTAGATATATTATCTACCAGTTCCAAAGTTATCGGTTTCTCTCTAGTATCTACTTTCAAAGATCTTATAATATTATTAACTTCTTCTTCTGCTAAACATATTTCTACATTATCGGTTTTGGACTCTCTTTCTTCCTCTTCTGTTTCTTTTATGAATAATCTTGATAAAATATCTGGTAAACAATTTAATTTACCTTCTCTGTATCTAATTTCAAAATCAAAATTGCCTACCAATAATAACCATTTTTGTAACCTGGGCGAAATCATCAACTCTTTATTATCTTTTCTAAATAGTCCTACCAACGGTTTGTGATCAGTATATAACAAAAACTTTCGACCCAATAAATATTCTCTGCATTTTGTTAGACCAAACTTTACTGCTAACGCTTCCTTTTCTATAGTTGAATAATTTTTTTCTGCCTTATTAAACTGTCTTGACAAAAATAAAATAGGCTTCTCTATATTATCAATCATCTGTATACTCCTCCTATACCTTCATTGGACGCATCAACTGCTAATATAATATCTAAATTCTCATTTAAACAATTTAATATAGGTTTCTCTACCATTTTTATTTTCAATCTTTCGAAACTTTTCTCCTGTGCTTCTCCCCATTCAAACTTTTTATTTCTCTTTAATAAATCATACAACGGAGTGGCAATTTCTGCATAATTTTGAACAAAACGATGATAATAATTTGTTGCTCCTAAAAACGCCTGTACTTCCGTTTTATTAATCGGTGCTCTCATATTCATTATCTTATCAATATTCTTTGCAATTGGCGTAATTTCATTACCCTTAATAATATGTCCTAAATACTTAATTTCTTTTACTCCAAAAACACTTTTATTCATATTGGCTCTTAAACCATTTTCCAATATTATATCTAACACTTTAACCAATCTAGTATTGTGCTCTTCTTCTGTATTACCCGATATCAGAACATCATCTAAATAATACATTACTCCTTTTATTCCCTGAAATAACGCCGTCATAGTCCTTTGAAAAATTGGCGCCGAAACTTTAGGTAGCCTACAAAACGCAAATAAACCCCTATGTGTAGTTATCGTTAACATTTTACTTGTATTCTCATTAACTTTAATCTGTAAATACGCATTAGAGAAATCTATCTTCGAGAAAAAAATCGCTCCTTTCAAATTTGCCAACAGTTGTTCTATTCTCGGTAAAGGATACTTTACCGTTATGATCCAAGGATTTAGTGAAATTCTAAAATCTATGCATAGCCTTAGACATTATCAGGTTTTCTTACTGGCACTAACGGTGTTGCCCATTCGCTATGTACTATCCGTTTTATTATACCTTCTTTTAACCATTTATTTAATTCTGTATCAATCTCTTTTATCCAAGAAAATGGCAATCTTCTTACTGCACAAAATTTAGCCTGGTAGTTCTCTAATAATTTTATATCTATTTCCACATTTTTTAATGTACCCAACTCTTCTTTAAAAACCTCCAAATGTTGATCTAAAATTATACTTATTTCATTACTGTTTTTATTTTCGACCATCTCTTCCTGTTCTGCTGCTTTACTTCTCTGTCTGTTGATTTCGATTGGTGTTACCTCATATCTTTTGACATCTTATTCTCTTTGACTCTATATTTAATCAAAAACTCTGGTGTTCGATTTCTAAGTTTATCGAGAACTAATTTTGTTTATCCTCTATAATCGGTAACTTAAATCTATCGAAATCACTTCTTATTATTTTACTATTATCAACAAATTCTGTTGTTCATTTCTAAGTTTATCGAGAACTAATTCTTGTTTATCTTCTATACTAGGTAACTTAATTCTCTCGAAATCACTCCTTATTTTTTAACTATTATCAATAAATTCTGTTGTTCGATTTCTAAGTTTATCGTGAACTAATTCTTGTTTATCTTCTATACTAGGTAACTTAATTTTCTCAAAATCACTCCTTATTATTTCACTATTTTCATCATTACTTCCAGGGATAGTTTCGAAAAATTCCACCAATTATAAACTGGACCTAACGTTCTTATATCACACCAACCTAAAATTGGTTCAATCTTCAACGTAGTTATCCACAAATTTATACTTTTATTAACTCCTGGTAACCTTACCCTATAATACCCTAAAATTTTCACCACGTTACCATCCAATTGTTTGGCTCTTATCTTTTTTGTAACAAATTCTTTCTCTGGCCAAAATCTCATAAAATCCTTAATACTTAACAAACTAATTTCTGCTCCTGTATCTAATAAAAAACAAATTTCTGCTTCATCCATGTTTATCTTTACTCTCGGGCATCTATTCTTCATTAAAAAATTCTCTAATTCCATTTTTCGTACATCTACACAAGTTGCATTTTTAATTTTATATATTTCAAAATCTCTACTTTTTATTTTTATATCACTTCTATTAATATCGCTTGAATTATAATTATCACCGTTAAAACACTTTTTATTATCACAAAATTTATCGTTCATATTACAATAATTATTCTTACTTGCACTCATATCCACATTATCCAAATTATCATTATTAAAATTAAAATACTTATTTTTAACATTAAAAAAATTATTATAATTATCAAATCAATCATTAAAATTAAAATGCTTATTCTTACCTGAACTAAAATTAGAAAAACTATTATTACCAAATTTATTATTAAAATTAAAATATTTATTCTTATTTGCTATTAAATTATCAACATTAAAAATATTATTATTATTACAAAATTCATTATTAAAATATTTCTTTCTTAGTCATTTTTTACATTTCTCTTGAGTGTGTCCATCCTGGCCACAAATATTACATCTCACAATTATTATTGTTTAATCTACATCTTATAGCTAAATGACCATTCTTGCCACATCTCGCGCATTTCAAATCCTTTGTTAATTAACAATCACGCGACATATGGCCTGGCTGACCACAACTATAGCAACTAATTCGTCTGAAATTCTCTGTACTTCTAGCAATGTTTATGTTTCTCTCCTTATTTTCCTCATTTAATATATTTTTTATCTTATCTAATTCCTTATTTTCTATTTTGATGTACGATGTATTTCTACCTAAAATTAAACCTAATAAAAATGCTAAAACTATTACCGAAAATATTATTACCACTATATTTTCCAACAATAAATTCCTTAAAATAATTTGACTTAGATACATTACAAAGAATTCAAAATAATTTTAATCACAAATAACTTAATGCTGCGGCCAAAATTATACAACAATGTAACTAATATTATGATTAAAATAAAAGCATAAAACGGCATTAAAAATAAAAAAAGAAAATATATATATTTTTTTTTACCTTAAATACGCTGATATATAAAAAAAATTGACTTCTAATCACAATTTATTTCTTCTAAATTTAATTGTATAGTCTATTTAATAGACTGAATATCTGCGGTCCCTGAGTATGTATACACTTCGGACCAGTGTTGGATTTTGACGTTTTATTATTATAAAAAAAAGAAAGATTAAATATTAAAATATATATATATAATTAAACCTTTATTTTTGTCTTGGAATAATAATTATTGGATGAATTAAAAAAAATATCGAAATTAAATTTTAATAATTTTGTTTCCTCTATATATATCTTTTTAATATTCAAATTGCAAATTTGAATGGCGAACTAACAATGCCCAACTAAAATTATAATATAATAATAACTAATTCTAATATTCAAATATAAAAAAATTATAATATAAAAAAATAATTACATAACAATATAAAAAAAATTAGGAAAAATTGAATAATTACAACAATTAGCTTACACAGAGAGCGATTGTATTTCTAGAATTAGAGAAAAATAGGGGCTTGTCATATCAAATTCAATGCGTAAAATAGAATTTCCTGCTAATAGCGTTGAAAAATCTGGGTTACACCAAGATGATTGTATGATCAATGATAGCTTGAGAAAAAAGAATGGTTTATCTCCCTTCTCGGAAGAGATAAAGGAGAGCAGACTTACATGGTAAGGGCATGTATTGAGAATTGTAACTCAACTAAAATAAATAAATAAGTTCTCGATCTTGAAATTAAGGACTAACGAGCAAGAGTCAGGCTACGACTAACTTGGATTTCTCAAATCCGCAAGGAAATGTTGGATAAGAAAGTTGCTGTTGATATTGCCCAAAGCCGAGCCATATGGAAGAATAGGATGCGTTTTAAAAATCCCAAATAGATTGGGGAATAACAGTATAAAGAAGAGGAAGATGGAATGTTGAGGCAATAGCACTATTAGCCAATTTAAACAGGGGTCATACTTTCCTATTTTGGAGAATACCACTTAATTCTTTATTCTTATTTTCACCAGCCGTCTATTAATTTACGCTTTCTCCCTATATTTTATTTAAAAATATTCAAATTAGTTTAACCAGACTCTTACCAATAGAAACATGCGTTCATATTGCCCATTGCTTCTTGGGTAATGTGGTGGTGTAACTACATGTTGAACCTTCCATTTTTCGCAATTTACTAAATGTTCTGCCTTAAAAAGCACCATCTAATATTAACATTTTCATTAATCCATATTTTCCTTCAAAATCTTTTATCTTATCTATGGCTATTCTTGTTGAAAAACTAGAAAGCTGCTTACAATCTAATCATTTTGAAATCTACCATGATAAAGTATTTTTTCTTCTCTTAAAATCTACATTATTCCTTTCGCATGGAATGCCGGTCTCTGGCCATTTATCTTCTTTGTTTCTTGCTGGTACATTAGACCACTTGTTACATGTATCACAACTCTTAGTTACTTCTTCTGTCTAGCTATTCATTTTAGACCATCAATTATACTCTCATGCTTTATTCTTCATTCTTTCTGTGCTTGATGACTGGCATACACTGCTGCTAAAATATCTTTCCTTTATAAATAAGGTATAACTAAATGATATCTTATCATTACACAGCACAATTTGTTAAAATCACTCTTCGCGTTTATGAACTATTTAACTTCGCCTTTTTATTCTATATCACCTTTCAATATTCTATATCACCTTTCAAACATGCTTTTATTCTCATTAATTCTTTATCTTGCTTAGATACCTTATCGACTAGCTCAAAAGTTATCAGCTTTTCTCTTGAAAGATATTATGTTATTATAATTTATCTTCTAAGAAAAAAATGCTATAAACCACTGCTTCATTTTCCATTTCCTTGACAAACAGCTTGATGAAATATTTGGTAAACAATTTAGTCTACCGTTCTGAACCTTATTTCAGAATCGAAGCTACTTACCAATAACAACCATTTTTGCAGTCTGGGTGAAATAGTCTTTATTGTCATTTTTAAACAAATAAACTAACGGCTTGTGATCCACGTATAATAAGAATCTCCTTTCAATCAGATATTCTTTGCACTTTGATAACCAAACTTAACTTCTAAAGCTTCCTTTTTAATGATTAGTTTGGATAAAAATAAGATAGGTTTCTCAACATTATCAATGATTTGCAAGAAGGCTCGTCCTATATCTTCATTAGATGCTTCCATTGCTAATATAATATTGAAATCCTCGTATAAACAATTCAGAATTTTATCTGTCATGTTTATTTTAATTACAAAACTTGCATCTTGTTCTTTTCCCCATATTTTTCTTTAACAACTTGTACAACGGTTTAGCTTATGAAACGATGATAATAAGTTTTAGCTAAGAAAGCTTGTAATTCCATCTTATTACTCGGTGTTCTCATGCTCATCATAATCTTATCTATATTCTATGAAATGGGATAAATTTTATTTCCCTTTATTACATGATCTAAGTACGTTACTTACTTTACTCCAAAAACACTTTTTTTTCATATCAACTCTCAGACCATTTTCAAATATTATATCTAATACTTTAATTAATCTCGTATCATGCACTTGTTCTGTTCTACATGATATCGAATAACGTCATCTAAATAATACATGATTACACAAATCCTTGGAACATAGCCGCTATAGTACTTTAAAATATTGGGGCTGATATTTTTAACCCAAAAGGCTATCTGCAGAATGCAAACAAATCTTTATGCATCGTAGTCGTTAATTTCTCATTTACTTTAATTTGTGAGTAGGCATTAGAAAAATCTATTT